ACCCTGTGTCAGGTTTTTATTGCTGTCTGTGTCCTCATTAGGGACATTCACGCTCCCTATTTGTCCTGTTGACTGTTATCACTGTGAGTAAAAGAAATGCTACCCCCACACTGCATCCCGTTCACACCTAGGCATACCACAAACACGCATGGCGTTCGCACACGTTCACACGCATTCGCACATGTTTCCCCCCGCATTTGCTGCATGTGCCCATTGATTTCAATGGGGGGAGGGAGGGGCGCATGTGCAGCAAACTCAGAAGGTAGCAGATTCTGCTACACGCTTCCTGTATTTCCCCCCCTTCCCCCCCGTGTGTTTTAACATGTTTGAACGCATGGGGAAAATGGGCGCATATAGGGTGCCATTAACAAGGAATGACGCCGCAAGCGCATTGCACATTTTTGACGCGCGTCAAACCCGTAAATGCTCTTCACAGTGCGTGTTTTTCCTGCGTTTGGCACGCATTCACGCCTAGGTGTGAACGGGGACTAAGTGCTCATTCTGTCTAGGGGGGACATAGTCACCTGATCCTCGGTCACCTGACTGGTCCTCGCCGCTTCTTCTCCCCCCGGGTTCAGGCAGTCTAATGGCAGTCTAATGACATCATCACGCCCTATACAGATCCATTGACTTGCATTAGACGTGAGGACCCTGAGGGTCATTCCATAGCCGTAGCAGAGGGAGAGAGAGGTGAGTGTCGGCTGCCATAGGACCGAGGATCAGGTGAAGGTCTCTGCTTTATTGGAACCCCATAGGCACAATGAGCACTTAACCCTTACAGTGCAGGGGTGCACCAGGAGGAGTGTCACCCATTGTGGCTGCCGCGCATGCGTTATGGCGTCTGTAAAAATCGTACTTGTAAGGGGGGGGGGTCCATCTATTCAATACTTTATTTGCAAAAAGGCTCGAAAGCAGCCAACAAACAAATGCTAACTCGTTTCAGCCCCCAAACTAGGCCTTAGTTGTAGCGGACCCCCTTACAAGTGCCAGTTCGTGCCCATTGTTGAGTAAAGGCTCTGGCTGAAGCTTTACTGGGCACCGAGGTTCCAGCAGCTGTATAGGAGACAAGAGGGTAGAGCTGCGCCATGTTTCTCAATTGTTATGACTCTGTGGTGAGCGAGGAGGGCATATTGACCCGGCGGGATTGTCAGTCATTTTGGTGTCACCCCTAGGGTTGCCACCTCTTCTCCAAGCGAAACCCGAACACTCTAGCGACACGCTGACATTTTCTTGGGAGAATGAGTTGTGGCTTATTCATATGTAAATAGCGCCGCCCATTCATATGTAGATATCACAGGTGAGACTATTTTCAGTGGGGGGCCAGTAGCCCCTATCTTAATTTTGGTTGCCCCCGTCTCCCTGACATCTTGTGTCTGGGTTTCTGCTGCCATGAAACCCGGGCACAGCATTCAAAACCGGGACTGTCCGGGTGAATCCTGCACAGGTGGCAACACTTATCACCCCTTGTGATGGTGTTACCTGGTGCGGCCCACACTCCCCTTATGATGCCACTGCCCCACCGTAAGGGTACGTTTTATTATTTCCCGGACTATGAATGTCCTATCTGTGTCATGTGACAAGAATGTCTTCTTAGGAGGTGACACTGACTCTCCCATGTGCTCTGACCACATAACAGGTGTCACTTGGGATCACAGCTGCTGGTCATGTCCAGTCCTGTAACAACACAGGATCACTCTGCGTGATTTATGAAGGTGCAGAAAGCCAGACATGAAGCGTGTCACCGTGTGATCACTGTAGGCGCGCTGTGCCCGCTAGGACTATTGCATCACGATTTAGGATGAAGTCGGGAAGAGAGCGATCAGGGGTGGGCAACCTTGGCCCTCCAGCTGTTGTGGAACTACAAATCCCATGAGGCATTGCAAGACTCTGACATCCACCGACATGACTCCCAGAGGCAAAGGCATGATAGGAATTGTTGTTTTATCACAGCCGGGGTTGCGAGGTTGCCCACCCCCTGAGTTAGACGCTCTGCCAAGTTTTTAATGCTGTCCCCATTGGAGAGATTCCCCTCTATTTGTGCCGATGACCAGAGAAAAGAAAGTGAGGGGAAATCCAACATTTCATTCCCAATGGGGACACCTGTGTATGAGGAAATCCCCCTCACTTTGATTTCCTCTCACTTCCTGCTGTGTCCTGGGACAGGAAGTTAAAGTGATTTCCCTGAATGGTGTTCAGATAATGACGTCTGAGCACTGAGAAGTAACCCAATTCTGTGATGTCAAAGCCCCGGGGGGCGTGTCCATGACAGCCTGGGCTCATAGGAAGTGAGTTAAATGATACTGACTGTCGAAAACCAAAAGACCAGCGACATCTTGTGGCAGAAATGAATCACTGCGGGGATCAGCTTTTTTTCATTTGTACATTGGGGGAGGGGGAAGAACATTTTAACATGTTTTTATTCTTTTTATGGGGTGTGCGTTAACTATACATTTTATATGAGCTTATTGGCAGTTACTCGCAGTCATGTGATGTTTGGGGACAGGAAATTACTATTTGTTCATGTATGGTTAATATTTGGTAGGTTACATGGCTGTTATCCAGGGGTGAGCAAACTCCGGCCCTCCAGCTGTGGTGCAACTACAAATCCCATGAGGCATTGCAGGAGTCTGAGAGCCACAGCCATGACTCCTAGAGACAGATCCATTATGGGATTTGTAGTTTCACCACAGCTGGAGGGCCACAGTTTGCCCACCCTTGTGTGTTATCATTTATTCATTTTCTATGTTACTTTTCTGTTTACTTTTCAGGATACACATTGTACATAGGGTTGTCACCTTTGCTTCAGGTGAAACCCGAACACTCTAGCACTGCTCGTGGCAATTATTTTGGGGGGAGAATATAGAGGAGAGAGCGAGGCCAGGGCAGGCAGGGGAGGGAGTAAGGAGATCAGCTATAGAGGACTACAAAATACCAGCAATACATTCTACAACAATGCAAAATAATATGAAGCCACATACTCTGTGTTTTCCGGGTTGGCGCCCTGATGTCTACAGGGTCTCAGGTGGCCTGTACGGGCTCTCAGGTGGGCTATGCAGGCTCTCAGGTGGGCTGTGCAGACTCTCAGGTGCGCTATGCACGATCTCAGGTGTCTATGTGGTGTCGCAGGTGGCCTGTACGGGCTCTCAGGTGGGCTATGCAGGGTCTCAGGTGGGCTGTGCAGACTCTCAGGTGCGCTATGCACGATCTCAGGTGTCTATGTGGTGTCGCAGGTGGCCTGTACGGGCTCTCAGGTGGGCTATGCAGGGTCTCAGGTGGGCTGTGCAGACTCTCAGGTGCGCTATGCACGATCTCAGGTGTCTATGTGGTGTCGCAGGTGGCCTGTACGGGCTCTCAGGTGGGCTATGCAGGGTCTCAGGTGGGCTGTGCAGACTCTCAGGTGCGCTATGCACGATCTCAGGTGTCTATGTGGTGTCGCAGGTGGCCTGTACGGGCTCTCAGGTGGGCTATGCAGGCTCTCAGGTGGGCTGTGCAGACTCTCAGGTGCGCTATGCACGATCTCAGGTGTCTATGTGGTGTCGCAGGTGGCCTGTACGGGCTCTCAGGTGGGCTATGCAGGCTCTCAGGTGGGCTGTGCAGACTCTCAGGTGCGCTATGCACGATCTCAGGTGTCTATGTGGTGTCGCAGTAGACCAATTCTGGTATTTTCTTCTGCAGGCAGACAAAAATACCCAAGTCTATGGGCAATAAAATCCTTCTCACAATGATGGCAGCTGCCACCCAGCTCCTTTGTGACCCTCTTCAGCATCCTTCCTTCCAGCCCAGCTCCCTTCAGGTATCCACTCCAGCTTGGTCTCTTAGGCCCGAACAGAAATCTTCACCCTCCCTCTGGGGAAAGAGAGTTCTGGAAAGGTATTCCTAAAAATTTATCATCTCCTCAAACCATACTTCTCAATAGGTTCCTCAGGGATTGGCTGTTTCATATAAATATTCATAACCTAGAGCAGGAATAGGCAACCTCCGCCCTCCAGCTGTGGGGAAACTACAAATCCCATAATGCCTCTGTCTCTGGGAGTCATGCCTGTGGTTGTCAGAGTCTTGCAATGCCTCATGGGACTTGTAGTTTCACAACAGCTGGAGTACAAAGGTTGCTGGAGGTTCATGTGTATGTAAATCCTAACAATGAACTTCTCTTATTTGCTCCCTTTGGCCTGATAAATATACCAATAAAATATACCACTGAAAGCTTTTTATTACATCTGTGCGATAAAACTCCAGTCAGCTGATAACTTCCTGTGCTCTCTACCTCCTCTACTACACTGTCATCAGTGAGCAATTCCTGTCTTAGGGGGACAATGCTGCTCCTCCATAGTACAGTGTTGTCACCCTAGGACAGGAAGTGTGTTATTGGCAGGTGAATAAAGGAAAAGAAGACTAAAAAGAGAAAACGAATGCAGCCGTCTCATCTAAGGATTGATAAACTGCAATTCTACATAATTATCGCTTATCATTATTTTGCATTCTCCTTTTGTGCCAGCAGGTGGAGCTGTAGGTCCCTATCAAAGTAACTTACCCCGGCTAAGAGAGTAAGTGACAAACACACATACACACATTTAT